CCGACTTCGTGTAATCCGTCGGTTTCGAATCCAAATCGTCGTGATTGATCTCTCCTCGACGGAAGAATCAGTCGACGATTCCGGCTCTCGTCCTTGATCTCTCTTCGTCGATTATGGTCGGCGTCTCTCTCGGTGGCTGTCGTCGACGACTCNGCCTCTCTTTTGTGATCTCTCCTCNACGATGAATCACTCGNCNTCTCTCTCGGAGTCTCTCCTCTACGACTCCGCCTCTGTTTCTTCATCGACGATTAAACCACCCAGCTCTCTCTCGAAAGCAAAACGGCGACCTCTCTTTCGTTGTCTCTCATCGAAGAATCACGAGCCTCTTGTCACATGTTTTGTATTGTTCTGGTCAACCATCAAGGCTAAGATTTAGTGTTTTGTATTGTTGTGGTCAGTAGTTAAATCAGTAGCTTGTAGTCTTGTNTCACGGAATTATTTGAGTCTTTGTGTCTATATAAAGAATTAAGCGTGCAGCTTCTCACCTTCTCTATATAATTTTGCTTGCATGCAGCTTCACTTTGTCTTCTGTATCTTGTATTTGCTTCACATTTTATTCACAAAGTCATAATCTCAACTTCTCACCAAACAATTTCCATTCTCAATAATTTTTTTTTAAGAACCCTTAATTAAGAGATTTGCATTGGAGCACATAAATGTTCGGGTCTCTGAACGGAGTTTTTAACACACATTTATTGCTTAAAAATATTAAAAAATAACTAAGAGACCCTAAATGGGTTTTTGGGATAATGATGCTCTTAGTTTCTTACACACCAACCTCTATTTATTACTCGGGTAGGCACTATTCACTAAATTACCCAATGCATGACTTTTCTTTTTCTTTTGTTTGCGTGGTACATCATTCATTGTCATTGTCCACAACCCAATGCATGGCTCTATGTTATTTTCCACGCTCACAAAAAGTAGAAAATAATACTACTACTACTATTGGGTTTTTAAAACTATTTATTGGATTTTTATTTCTAAACAAATATTTGATGTGGATTCTGATATCTGAAGTCAGATTTTCATTATTAGGTCTCTTTAACTCTGACTTATAAATTATAGCCTTCAGAGC